CTGTTCTTGGACACACTTATCGCCCACATCAATTCAATTTTGGCTGTATACGTCTTTGATGCATATTTTTTTTTCGAAAACCGGATCCCAGACAAATTAAGAATATCCCCAAAATTTGAATCTCCCCATGTCTCGGGGAAAATATGGGGCATTATAAGAAAAGTCGTCCGAGCTGTAAATGTCAAGCACTGGTTTCAAACAAGCCCTATACATTAAACATATTTAAAAATCCTTGGGATACTGTCCAAAGACTTCCCGAAGCCAACAACTATAATAAAAACAACAATGCAACCAAGCACTCGGACGTGAGCCCTAAACAATGCCGAGGACAACTTCCAACACGCCCCAAACAAACTTTGATAAGCTATTAAATCAATTTGCCGAAATTCAAGAACAATGGTGAATTCCCACCGATGTCTGGCCCCAAAAACAAAAGAAGGAGCAGTCCCCAAAGCTCCCAATTCCTGTGTATTTCACTAAAATAAAAGCAAAGATAAAAGGTAAATCATTGGTGTAGCACGTACAGCAAAAAAAAAATGGCAAACCACGAAACCATTTGACACAAAACATACCATACGGGTCGACCATTCCAAGCACATGCAAAAAAAAACTCAATATATCATTATATAAAGAGTCCCAAATATAAATAGAATATATATATATGATGAAGTAATAAAAAGACATAAAAATATACTAACTTGATTTTCTCCTCCATTGGCAAAAACGGCATTTCCGTAGTTTGGGGCTTTAACCCCTCTCAAAATCCATGCTGGAGGCTCCTTCTACGGCAAAGACACTATGCCAGATCATGGTTTGGGCTGGTCATCGCTATATTCACTAAGCCCAGTATATTTCGTGATAAAACGAGACTATATGGAATAAAAGCCTGGAGGATGCATTCCAGCAGTCAAAGAAGGTCATTTGACTTAGTCCGAAAAGGCATCGCAACATTTCAAAAAGAAAGAATAACCTGCCTTGCCCCAGATTGGAGCAAAGACGGAATGGGCTTCCTACTTCTGCAGAAGTATTGCTCATGCACCACCTGACAAAGCCCCAGTTTGCTGCCCTGAAGGTTGGCGCCTGATATTTGCTGGTAGCAGAATTGATGCTGAACGCAGATATGCATTTCGAAGCAGCAGCAATTGCAATTGGAAAATGTCGGGTAATGGGTTGCCCGAATCTCATAGTGGTTACAGATCATGAACCACTAAAAGGATTATTCGGAGATAGAGACTTAAAATTCTGATTATTCAGGTTAAAGGAGAAAACCCTCAGGTACAGATTCACCATTCAGCACTGCCAAATGGCAGAGCCTCCGATGCTGTCTCTGTTAACCCAGCAGACATCTCACAGGCACTCCTAAATGTATTCACTGCTGAACCTTCTCAATCAGACATCATAGAGTCTGACAACATGGATGATTGGGTCAAATCAAAAACCATTAGCAACATTCGGTGCAAATGACAACCTTTCTCAGCAGACGTTATCCGTTGCGCGGGACGCAGCGACCCGCAATACAAAAATTAATAGAAGTAATACAAAACGTTCCAAAAGAACGCGCATCCTCACTGCACTGAAATCCGGAATTTCAAAGTGTTGACGACGGGTTAGTGCTCTTAGATCAAGGTTATGCGCCTACATTCTGCACATGATGAATCTGTTTATTGGCCCGGGATGAATGCCCGTTCTGCTCAATTCAACCAAAGAGCCAATCAATTTGACACCATCTCCTGATTGGCTTTCAGCAAATCGTCATGGACATCTTCCATGTTGGAAACCATGGTTTCATCTATCACTTGATGGGCTATTATTATTTATTTTCAAAACATATTTCAAACCTACGGCGCTCCTGAGGAACCAGTGAATGTTTTTGCAAGACTATCCTTTACCCAATATTTTATTTAAAGAGAATTTTGTCTAAGCAAGAGCCATCCTCCAATACAGGAATAAAAACATTCCTCCCCCGTGCTCAACTTTACGTGACTTTTCAACGCGAATTGATAACCGCAGCACAAAATTCCGGCGGAACGCTTCTCATATACAACAGAACAGCACACACTTTAAACCCCCTTCAAAAGGACAAATTTGGGACACAACAGGTCAGGGTCATTGAAATTCCCCAACCACCAATACCGTATTTGACGGATCAAAAAACTGTAACCTACACCAGTGCAACAAACAGGTTTCATCTAGACTCGATGAATATATTTTATTTAGTTTTTCTAATATTCCTAAACTTTTCCTTTTCGCCGGGGGGTGAGTGGGTAAGGGAATGTAAATATTGTCCCAAGCGCTTTCAGTCGCGTCTTTAGCCATTTTCAAGTGGTTTGTTCTTAAGTGTTTTTAAATTACTTTCATAAAACATCTGCCAACTAGTATAAATCTCATGTTATTCAGGATCGGTATCGGTGGTTATTTTTTGTTTTTTGTTCTTTTAATAGAGAGACGCCGACTCAAATTCCAGCCACGTTCATCTTGCGGAGCTCGGAATAAATGCTACTACTTTTAGGTATCACGAAAACAACATGTAAATACACAATCTCGTATTCAAACGACATCCACAAATAAAGAATGCTCCAATATTTGGGTATTTTAGAAAAGAGAAAGGTAGCATAGCTTCTCATGCCGTACATATTTTTTTTTAGCAGCTTATTGAAATGATGTTAATGGCGGGCATAGACACGGATTTCAATATTATATTTAGAATTACATAAATTCCTATTTAAATGTGGTAAGAATCAGATCATTACTTGACGACTTTAAGCAATACGAGTACTGATTGATAAACAAAGTCTTCTACAACGTGGCGTCGCTAATAGTTTTGTTAAAAATATATTCGAATATTTTATTTGGTCGAATATAAAGACCAGCTCAAATCTGCTTGGTAATAGTTTAATATGTGATGGCTTTTTCGTAATACGAGTTTACACTACTCTCTAGTCTTGCGGTTTGTGGTGATAGAAATATGTTTCAACACTGTCTTCCATATTTGTTTTTACAATGATGTTCATTCTGTACAAAGCCCAGGAATCACTTGAGGTAGAATGTTATAGAGTAAGAAGCACAATTTATGGGGATATTTGTGAAAGATAACGGCTGACCCAAGATTTGAATAGTTTAAAATTGTAGTGATCGGGAAAGCATCCTACTGGAAGTCGGTTCCACAAAACAGCGGCTCACGGGAAGAAGCTGCTCCGGTGAAATTAAAATCTCACCAATGGAACACGAAGGCAATGAAGGTGGTTCGCGACAATGGGATTAGCATGGTGGGTTTTAGGTGTGAAGTTTAGAACTGATGAAAGTAAGGACTCTTACTTATTATAAAACGCACATTGTGTGTGTGTGTGTGTGTGTGTGTGTGTGTGTGTGTGTGTGTGTGTGTGTGTGTGTGTGTGTACGTTTATATATTGGATCGGATTTCCTACATTTTTCATCCGATTTCAACAAAACTTCACAGGACTACGTAAAATTACCTTGCGGTGGTTCTAACAGTGCCAAAATTTGGAAAAACAGTTTTTTTTTCACGAAATCAATTTGAAAACACGATTAAAAGGCATCACGAGAATGAAAGGGGAACAACTCATATCGAGTTATACATCGGATTATGATGGTCGATACTTGATCTATCTCTTACTGTTACATTCCCGGGCAACGCCGGGCTCTACTGCTAGTATATGAATAAATCTCCACTTAAACGTGATTAAATTGATGAAATGGACGAATAACGTTTGTTATTCAATTTTTCTTTTTATGTGGTATATCCTTTCAGGGTGTAGGAAGTCATGGCTCTCCAAACTTCCCTCTCTTCCTTTCAGCTCTCAAAAAGTCCTTCCCCCTGCTTCCTCCCCCAGACCCCGTTGTGTCATCCACTTGCATAAGCCCGCCAGGTATGTCACGCTTTGTTTTCCCTTGTCTCTCTTTCCCTCTATCCGACCTGCGAATATAAGATTCTCCAGGCCCTTCTTCCTCGTTATGTGTCCCAGAAACTTCAGCTGCCTCTTGTTGGTGTGAAGTATAAGCCTGCTACTTATTTGCATCATCTCTAAAACCTCATCGTTGCTCGCACACTGTGTTCGAATTACGTATAATTCAGCTACCAGTAATCTGGTTATTGGTGCAACGAAGATGCGAGATAGTTACGTGTATGAAAGCCAACACTGCGAGCAATCAAACACCTCTGAAAATTAAGGAGTCGAAAGAGAATGATTTATTTTGCATCGCAACAACGCATTGCATTACTGCAATTGGCAAACAATGCGAAATGCATAATTGGGGTACACCCTCGCTTCTCCTCTGGTTTGGTAATCTCATCATTTTTTTCTTTTTTATGTTTTTTCACAAAATTGAACGAGTCTTTGAAATGACGACATAGTCATTAACGCCTTCGCTTAAATTGAAATTGGATGGACATAAAACCAGAAATTGTCTTCATAGAGCAAATAAAAAAAGTATCGAACATTCGTGAAAATATTACTGCCAGGGGAAAAAAAACTGGTAATTTTGAAGAGAAATAAATTTCCTTCATTTTGATACCAATCTCATAAATACTAACTGGTCCCAAATGTATTTTATAGGATCGAAGACGTTACTTGTCAGTTTACCCTAGAAATTCTGAATAGAAATAAATTTACTTGATTTTGATATCAAATTCAGTATTCTAACAGGTCCGTAATTAATTTTATAGGATTTCAGATCTTACTCATGAATCTATTGTAGAAACTTTGAAGAAAAATAAAATTAATGTTTAAACGAAGATAATTACTTGGCTTACGGCCGTATCACGTTGAAACATCGGTTTTCGTTTAATCATAGATATTAAAAAAAGTCGAGACTGGTCAGTATTTAGATGGGAGACCAATTTGGGAATACGGGGTGAAATAAATTTGCATGTGCGGGTGGTATCATGGCTAACGGTTCGAAATTGGAAATCGGTGAGCCGAGTTCTAATAGCAGTTGGGTTCGTTGTATTGAATATAAGCGCAAATAACCTTGACTAAATTATGAACCCGCCACTTCCTACCCGGCTATTCGTCATCTATCTATCTATCTATCTATCTATCTATCTATCTATCTATCTATCTATCTCAGTCTCTTCACATCTATCTATCTATCTATCTATCTATAGGAATTATATCATTATAATTATTATATGTAGGAATTATATCAGTAAATCTATATAATTATTATAATTAGGAATTGTATCAGTAAATCATTATTATTGTACAGTAGGTAGAACCCCTTCAGCACTCTACCAGATACCCTGGCTGATAGCTTTAAATATTTTATGATTAAGGACTTCAAAAGTTGATTAATAAGTTGATACTAAGCTGATTAATAATCGGACGGATCTTACTTCGTTTGGCATTTGACCCTCCTCTATTCCTTTTAAGTTGTCTTGTTAATTGTTTTGTTTACTTATTGTTCTGTGCTTTTTGTATGCATCCGTTTGTGCTAAATGAATATATTAAGGACTCATACTTTTCTGTGTATCATTCACCTCGACGATACAACAAGTCAAATCACCAAAAAGTTCTTACAATCTAAAAATATTTTCTGGCTTTAAATAACCTGCACAATGTTGATAAAAATACATCGAGCAATCTATTTGGTCCTAAAATGTGTCTCATAGGATTGGAGATTTAATTTGCCGATCTACTTTAGAAAATTTGGAAATAAATAGATTTGCTTCACCTTGATAGACTATGCGTTATTCTATCTTGAAACGTATTTTAGAGGATTAGAAATCAACCTTCGTAATTTGAAGATGAATTCAATTATTCCACTCTCATACCAATTCCATTATTCCATAGGATCTCGAATTTCTTTTACGGGATTCGAGATATTACTGATCAATCAAGCTCTGGAATATGGAAGAGAAATCAATTCTCTTAATGCTCATACCATAATTGTATCTGGTGTCGAAATTATTTCGTAAGATTTCAAATCCTATGAAATCAATGTATGAATCAACCCTAAAAATTTTGAACAGAAATAAAGTTTCTTTATTTTTTATGCGAGTTTTGTTATTCTATTTGGTTTCGAAATTGTTTCATAAGATTGGAAAATCAACCCTGAAAATTTTGAACAGAAATAAATCTTAATTTTCATAGCAATTTCATTATCCTATCTGGACGAGAATTTATTTTATACTGTTGAAGAACTCTCTTATCAATCAATCCTAGACATTTTGAAGAGAAATAAAGTTTCTTCATTTGTGTTATTCTTCTTTTATTATTCTACACATTTGTGCAAATTAACTGAAAAAAACGAATAATTCCGTTATTATTTACTTTTTTTGCATTTTTCCTACGAAACATGACCCAATGCACATGGTAGCATTTCGTATGTTTATTCCACAATTTCGTTTCTTGCAGATTGACCACAGATTCTTGAAAGGATTTAAATGGGGAGAGTTTCAGAGCCAGTCGATAGTATTTTAATTTGATCACTGTTAAGACTTGCCAGTGTGTGCGTGCAGAGTTACAATTTTACTATGCCTTTTGGAGTAAAGTTCATCGCAGATAATAACCGTAGGACAACTAATCGACAGACGAAACAATAGTATCTGGGCGTGATGAAAATTTGATGCAATCACGGATAACACAATATTTTACAGGGCCAACCAAATTTCATCATACACCCAGAAAATAGATCCATATGACTGCACACAATCAAATGACCTCGGCTGAGGAAAAATAGAAATCGATTCCACCTGTCACTCCAGTCAGTCTAAAGCTTATCGTTTGGTGAAATAAAGTTTCAATTAATTTGCACAATGGTGTATATATATATATATATATATATATATATATATATATATATATATATATATATATATTTTTGTTTTTTTTTAGATACACAGTAATAATCATGTTTCAAAAACTGAAGATAAAAACTTGAAATTTAATTATATAATTAAATTAAAAGCATAGTTCTGTTTCATCTTCTTCAAGCGAATTTTGGAATCACTTATTTTTATATTTACTGCGTTTTAAACGCACATATAAGTTCATAATTTCATGCCCCCCCCCCAAAAAAAAACATCTTTTAACTCAGTTAGCTCTGTAAATTTACATTGAGCACTGTTTTGTAAAAATGAAAATCAAAAATATCAATAAGAACGCCGGATTATATATCTTACTTTTCTTTTATATATATATATATATATATATATATATATATATATATATATACACACACACACACATATATATATATATATATATATATATATATATATATATATATATATATATATATTATCACTATTATTATTATTATTTTCATTATACCATCTGCTCTCGAATGTGTTTCACAGGATTTCCGATCTTACTATCGAGGCCATAATACGATAACGCCTTCTCCGTTGGGTGCGGATGTTGGGCAGTAGCCTCCCCAAAAGTGTATTCTTCGGGGACCTTGAGACCGAGAGCCACCCACAATCAAGCGATTTCGAGACTACCTTAAGCGTGCTCTTGTCTTCTGCAATATTGACCTAACACGATTGGAAAACCTCGCAAGAGATCGGTTCAGATAGCGGTCTCTCTGAGTCGGGCACTTCGAGGAGGAGAGACGAGGATCGCTCTAAGTGAAGCGACGCCAGCTTCATCTGCAACCTGCCAGTTCCGTACCGAGCACGTTTCCCTGCCACCTGTGCTCGAGAGCTTGTCGTTCGCCGATTGGGCTACTATTTCTTTTGGCAGCCTACAAAAAAATGGACGGAGATGGAAGGAAAGCGTCGTCATCAGCAATGACGGACAGCCTAAGAGAGAGAGAGAGAGAGAGAGAGAGAGAGAGAGACATCTCACCAATCAAAAGAGTATTTTGAAGAGAAAGATATGTAGTTCATTATTATCCCAGTTTTATTATTGAATCTGATCTCAAATTTCTTTCATAAGATTGGAGAACTCATCTATCGTAACCAATGTTGCAATTCTGAAGGCGAATAAATTTGCTTCATTTTGAAACTAGTTTAATTATTCTGTCAAGGTGCGAATTTGTTTCATAGTGTTGGAGATCTTACTTATCGCGCAGACCTCATAACTTTTAAAAGAAACCATTTTTTTTCATTTGAGAGTTATTCTGTCTTGCCTTGAATTTGTTTTATAAGATAGAGACCTTACTTATCAGTCACCGCTCATTATTTTGAAGAGAAATACATTGGCTTCATTTTCATAGCTATTCATTATTCTATCTGGTCTAAAAGTTATTTTGGAAGATGTGAGGTCTTACGTATCAATCAACCATCGTTGATTTGAAGAGAAATAAATTGACTTCATTTAATACCTGTTTCATTATTCATCAATCAAACTTCGTTTAAATGATTTTTCTTCCGAGAGTGTGTATTTATAACTGGTGACGCAAATATGTAACTATTAATGTGCAGGCTTCTAGCAATTAAAACAAGATTTTATCTAAGCTGTCGATAGCTTATTGTTTATTGAAGTCGTGAGAAGTTTAAAACAACATTGGCTCAGTTTTCTTTCCGTAGTTGACACGATGATTCAGCATTGAAAACTGAATATGCATTGAAAAGCGTAGAATTCTTATTGCTATGTGCAAACTTTATTATCCTATGCAACAAAGGAAGCCGCGTGATTATCTTAAATCACTTCTAGTATCTTGCAGTTAAGTAGGCCAATATTATCTGCCACACAAACAGATGAATGTTTCTTTTTTTGATTGAGAAAACTAATCTGTACTTGTAAAAATTGTGGTAACTCGAATTGACCGTATTATCTTGTACAGAATATAAGAAAAACCTTCTTTCAGGCAGTATTTTCCTGCCACTTTCTTTCTTTCTTTCTTTCTTTCTTTTTTGCTTAGGTTTTCGTCTATATCTTCCGATTCTTTCTCTTTTTTCTTTCGTGTATTCTTTTACCCAACACTCTTTCTTTCTTTCTTTCTTTCTCTCTTTCTTTCTTTCTTTCTCTCTTTCTTTCTCTCTTTCTTTCTTTCTTTCTTTCTCTATTTCTTTCTTTCTTTCTTTCTTTCTTTCTTTCTTAACATTTCGTTCATATTCTTCCGATTCTTTCTCTTATTTTCTCTCTCAGATTCCATTTCCCTCCACTTTATAAACCTTCTTTGTTCTTCTTTTCAGTCTTTCTTTCTATCGTTGGGTTTGTTCATATTCTTTTGAATATTTCCCTCTTCTTTCTTTCATACACTGTTTTCCCTCCCACATTCATTCATTCATTCTTTCTTTCTTTCTTTCTTTCTTTCTTTCTTTCTTTCTTAATATTTCGTTCATAATCCTCCGACTCTTTCTCTTAATCTTTCATAAAATCTTTTCCCTCCACTTTTTCTTTCTTTCTTTCTTTCTTTCTTTCTTTCTTTCTTTCTTTCTTCGTCATTCGTTCATATTCTTCTGATACTTACTTTCATGTTTTTTTTCATGCACTCTTTGTCTTTCCTACTCTCTTACTATATTCCTTCTTCCCTTTATTCTTTCTTTATTTCATTCTTACTTTCTTTCTTTCTTTCTTGGGCATTCTTTCATATTCTTCCGATTCTTTCTCTCATTTTTCATTCATACATTCTTTTTCTATCCACTTTCATTCTATCTTTCTTTCTTTTCTTTTGTCGTCTTTCTTTCCTTGTGTCTTTCTTTCCTTGGTTTTCTTTCATATCCTTCCGTTTCTTATTGTCTTCTTTCTTTCATCAACACTTTCCCCCATTATATTCTTTCTTTCTTTCTTTCTTTATTTTCTTTCTTTCTTTTTTTCTTTCTTTCTTTCTTTTTTCTTTCTTTCTTTCTTTCTTTCTTTCTTTCTTTCTTTCTTTCTTAGGCTTTTGTTCATTATCTTCCAATTCTCTCATTCTTTCTTCTTTCATGCAGTATTTTCCTTTTCCTTTCTTTCTCCCCTTCTTTATTTTCTTCTTTCTTTTTTCATTCTTAGACTTTTCTCCGCTTTCTTCGTATTCATTCTGTGTTTTTATTTCTTTCATTTAAAATCTTCCGATTCTCTCATTTTTTCTTCCTTCATCCACTTTCTTTATTTTTTTCTTTCTTTTCTTCTTTACATCTTTCTTTTGTTTCATTCTTTACCATTCGTTCATATTCTTCCATATTCTCTTCTCTCTTCTTTCTTTCATTCACCTTTTTCTCTCTTCTCTTTTCTTTCTTTTTTAGTCTTTCCTTAATATTCTTCCTACTCTTTCTCTCTTTTTCAATTTCATGCAGTCTTCCCCACTTTCGTTTTTATTTCCTTCTTTTTTTCTTTTTTCTTTCTTTCTTTATTTATTTATTTACTTATTTTCTTGTCTCTCATTCATATTCTTCTTATTCTTTACCTGTCTTTTTTCATGCTCTCTTTTTCCTTTCAATAGAAGAGCGGTTTTGGCAATTCCCTTAATATATTAATTGGAATCGCTAATCGTATTGAATATGGTTTGATCTTTTCGTTAAATTCGAATTTAAATGAAAAAAAATCTGACAACATTAATATCAAACTAAAGCAAGAGCTTTGAACTGACCTTTGCTTTAACACTTCAACGTTTTGATCATGAAGAAACATCTCTATTGCATCTTCTGTTACAGAGCTGGGACATTCAAAACGTAATTCATTTATCTTTTAGTCCCCATTATCCAAATAGTGGAATATATTTTAAAAGATGATTCTTTGGTATGAGAGAAGCATTAATTTTGATGAGTTTATTTTTATCGATAATACACACCGAAAAAAATAAAATGCAATACATACTTACACACATCATTTTTTTAAAAAAAAAAAAAAGCTTGTGACGTATTTTCTTGTGAATATTACAAGAAATTTTGATCGAAAATTAAAATTAAAAGAAGATAGGCGTAATTTACACAATTAATATATTTTCAGAAATTTTTCCTGAACTTCAAAACCTCATATTTGAGAGAGAAATATTACCAATACACTCAGCACATCAAATAATAAAATGTAAAGTTGGCAGGAGTTGATAACAATTGTTTTGTATTTGATATGTTTGCAATATTTGTTTCTTCATTCTTAATATAAGACAATTTTTTCTATGTCCATAGTTGATTAATATAATAAAGTCCTGTCAAACAGAAAAAGTATAATAGATTACTTAAACGTTAAAATGTGCTACTGTGTATGTATAGTTAGCACCATAATTCGAAAATAAGTTTTAAACCGGAAATTAAGAAAAGAAACTCTCAATGGCTGAATATTCATTTCTATTCTTTAATATCGTGAAAAATTAAATATTTTACTGAAATATATGTACGACATTGAATTTTTAATGGATAACATTGTACAAATATTCAAAATAAATTTAGTGTTGGTTGTAAAAGGTTTTGTAGTCAAGCGTAAAATTCATTCCAATTTTTAGTTTCAGAAACACGAAAATATTTGTACAAAAGTTTTCTCGTTTAGTTCTTAATGATTTTTATTCTTATTCTTCAATATCGTGAAAAATTAAATATTTTAGTGAAAGGTATGAACGTGACTGAAATTTTAATAGATAACATGAAAGGTATAGCTGTGCTACAGGCTCGTATTATACACAACTTTACAACGGTCAGTTTTAATCTGTACCTGAGAAAAAGTTATATATATTATTAATGGTATATATATATATATATATATATATATATATATATATATATATATATATATATATATATATGTACGTTTTATACGAGCCAAAAGTAACCGGAAATGTGTCATATAATTTTATTCATTTATTGTTGCATGTTTATATTTTTACCATCTTCAAAGTATTCTCCATTCGAAGAAATGCACCGATCCAGACTTTTTTCCATTCTTCAAAGCAGTCCTGGAACTCATGTGAAGTTATGTTTTTTTTAATTTCTCCGTCGTTTTCTTCTTAACCTCTCCCGCATCTGCGAAAAGTTTACTTTTGAGGACTTTCTACATTCGGGGCAAGAAGAAAAGTCGCCGGGAGTGAGTGGTGTTGAGATCGGGTGAATACGGAGGGTGAGGAAGTGGGGTCATGCAATTCTTGGTCAGAAACTGTCTTACACTCAAGGCGGTGTGCGCTGACGCATAGTCGTGATGCAATCACCACCCTCCACTTTGCCACATGTCAGGGCATTGTCGTCTCACCTTGTCTCGCAAACGCTTCAGGACATGCAAGTAAAAAAAAGCCTGGTTACAGTTTGACCAGGAGGAACAAATTCTTTGTGGAGAATTCCTTTCACATCAAAGAAACAAATCAGCATCGCCTTGACATTGGACTTCACTTGATGCACTTTTTCGGTGTCGTGGTGACGTTGGATGCTTCCACTGATTTGATGGATGCTTCGTTTCCGGGTCGTAGCCATAGCACCAGCTTTCATCACAAGTGATGACCTTCGAAAAAAGGTCAGGGTCAACTTCCAACAGTTCTTTCATTTTAAGACAGCCATCTTTTAAGCCATGGTAAAAATTGAGGAAAAGGCATGAAGCACTTCAAAACAAATGTGAACCACGGAGTTGTACGTCTTCCCACAATGACACCAGTTAGCACCCTGATGCCTGAGGATTGTCTCAAGTGACATCTAGCGGTGGAAGCCTGAACTAGTACGGGCTTGTCACACAGAAAACGATTCCGCTTACTTTTGGGTCCCTCTTCGTATGTATGTGTGTCTGTGTTTGTTTGCTCGTGTGTAGTTGTGTATAGGAGTAGTATCCCTGCTTTAATACATATTTCGTTAAAAATTCATGGCAAGATAATTTTGTTAATTCTTTTTTTTAGTGTATACGAAAAATTAATTTCTTTTTTTTCTCTCAATGTGCGTATAAATTGTTCAAGTTGTTGTAAGTATTTTCGGGTACCAGCAGTTCTGAAATTGTACGACGGAAGAGGATAGTAGGCGAGACGGAATGATTAAAGGACAATCAAAGATTTAGAAACAGTTTCAGAAAATTTATATGGGAAAAATAATAATAAAAAAATTAAATTAAAAATATTATTATGGATTACTTGTAATTGCATGCATGAGTCCCAGTATAAATAGTTAAAAATAATTATTGATCTATTTTATCATCTTGATATCTTTGCATTATATCAAGTATTAAGAATATAGTAACTAGGGTCCGTAAATTGGAGGCGAGAGTTATCAATCATAATGTTCTGACTTTGAATCCGCAGTTATCTTTCTTTAATCCTCTCTCTCTCTTTTTTGTTGTTTTTTTCGTTTTTTTTAATGTACTTTTATCACGCGATCAAATTTTCCTTTCGAAATTGCGGCCAATAGAAAAACGTTTGGGAACCATTGGAAAGATTATAGTGTCTAAACATACCTGGTTGCTAATCTACATCAGAATTTGAAAACTTTCTTCATCTCAGTTGTGATAACCTGAGGTCCCAGAAGGCAATTCTTATCTTTAAGGCTTTAAACAGAACACGTCGATGCTTTGCTTAAAAAAAGAAAAATTTAAAAAAAAAGCCTATAGTCAGTAAATATTAAAAAAAAAACTGTTCACATGGTTTTTGCGAATGCGAGAGGCACGTTGCACGCAAATTCCCCAAATGCGGTCTCCCTACTGGCAGAATAATTTCCTTGAAATATCTGCAAGCATTTTAGAAAAGTAAAGTATGAAATGAATACAGAAGGCGTGCATCGGTTTAGTATAAGTTTTCCAAGGTGTGTTGAGTGACTTCAAAGAAAAGCATGGCTAAAAAAATGCGTAATGTTAAGCAGTCAAGCGTACAATAATATTTCAAGATTTCCACATGCGTCAGTGCCAAAAGACAAATACCAATATTCCCTTATCTTTCCAATTCACTGAATATATATATATATATATATATATATATATATATATATATTATTGAGGCATCTTGTTAATAATCTTGTGTAATAATCTTTTTTTTTCTGTTTTGTCTTGTTTCCTCGCAATTTTCTTTTATATTTGGGACTAAGTTCCAGATAAAAATGTCCCTAATTCTTGGTGCTTTGCCAAGCGCTTTTGAGTGGCAGAAATATCTTAAACATATTTAATAACTAATCTTTCAAATAAGAAATATCGCCCACCTTCCAACTGCTAATGAATTAATCCAATAACACTGTTTAAATACTCAAAATATTAACTGTAAAATAAAATAATAAATAACAAACTTCAAACCAAAACGTCCAGCCATGAGGACGGTTGACAACCGAAAGTGCTCGGCAAACTACTAAGGATTAGGGTCCTTTTTTTCCGCAACTTAGATCCAGAAAAATTGCGAGAAAGAAAAAAGAACAGAAAAAAAGATTATTAAACAGAAACGTTCCGTAGTTTTAAATAACACATGACTCAATAACCACACGCTGCCAAGATATATACATACATACATACATACATACATACATACATACATATATATATATATATATATATATATATATATATATATATATATATATATATATATATTTACAACAATC